TGTTCATTAATGTGCACTGTCCTGATTGAATAAATAAATAAATAAATAAATGTGTCCCACCTGTGTGGTAGCCGCTGGACAGCTCCTGGATGAAGCCGTGGGCGCTGGCCATGCGGGCGGCCCGGTAAACCTCCTCATCGGTGGCGTTCTCGTAGCCGTAGGTGATGTTTTCCCGCACGGAGCGGGCGAACAGCACGCACTCCTGGCTCACCACGGCAATCTGGCAGAAAACAGAAGGGAGAGGGAAGGTTTGTCACGAGGACAGAGGTGGAACGGAGTGGGAAAAATGTCTGAGAGGAACTAAAGTAAAGTACAACCTCTACATACGAATTTAATTTGTTCCTGGACCAACCGTGTATGTTAAAATATTCCTATGTTGGTTCAAATATTCCCATCAGAATACACTGTAATTCCTATAATTGGTTCCAAAAACCTAGGATAACTCCTTAATAAATACTGCAGATAATTACACAATTACAATTACACATGTAAAAAGAAATAAATTATAAAGAAATAATCAGTAAAAAGGGTTTTTACTGGCACTTATTGGCGAATGGAGGTAGAGGTGGAGACTGAGATACAGGACAAACACTAACTTACTTTAGCTCTTTAACTTGTACTCTAACTTTCACTATGGGAACTTTAATCTGACTTATCTTATTTATTCATATTTTATTTTTACACTTTTTTTTTCAGTTTGAAAGAGCCTTATTGTGAGCGTTGATGACTGAAAGATAGATAGATAGATAGATAGATAGATAGATAGATAGATAGATAGATAGATAGATAGATAGATACTCACATTTCTCTCTAATTTTTCTCATCAATCTGATTTATTGGCTCTCAAAGGCTGTTTTGTAAAGATTGACAACATTCTGCAGAAAGTTTTCTATACTTAGACCTATAAAATGTATTTTTTTCTTATTGATCCAGACAAGAATGACTCAGTAAAGCCAAAATAAAACTTAATTGATTCTAAAGCGATAGATAGATAGATAGATAGATAGATAGATAGATAGATAGATAGAT